AGGCTCTCGGCTCCGCTCCCCCCGGCGCCCACCTTAAGAAGTACCAGCCGCCTTCCCCCCACCCCGCCCCCCGGCAAAGAAGCCGGGCTTGCCCGAGCCCAGCGGCGCCTGCGGGATTCCGTTCGCCGCGCCTCACACCTGCTGCTGGCCGAAACTCGCTCGGAGGCTCTGCCCGCGAGGAGGCTGCCAAACGCGCAGGCGCGCAAACTTCGCCCTTCGGATTTTAGAGGCTGCAGAAGCGAACGGCTGGCGGAACTACAGCGAGGGGGGGAAAAGAAAAGTCGAGCATGAGCTGGAACCGGTTCCGATCAAGACGGCCGAAAGCCTGGAAACGATGCGCTCCGGACAGAGAGTGAGGAACCGGGTAGGTTTAGCCCTGAGTAAAGGTGACCAAGGCCGCAATTTTTCTGGTACCCGAAGGTGCGTTCACACAAAAGACAGCCAAGACCTCAGTCACCCCAGAGGATGCAGAATCGGGGCCTAAATGACAGGGAAGCCAGTTCTGGGTGAGGGTTAGAAGATTCTTCCCAACAGGAAGCGCAGTTTGACACTGGGACCAGTTTCCGAGAGATGGTGGGCTCTCCTTCCTGGGTTGGGTTCAGGCTGGCTGGCTGGCCACCGGTCCAGGATGCTTTAATTTGCCGCCTTGCACTGAGCAGGTCTTGGACTTTATGGCCTAAATGCCCCTCAGAGCTCTAGGAAACTGGGTTTTTAGAGTTTCCATCTTTATGGCCAGTGCACACCCCCAAAGCAACAGCCAGGAGAATTTTATAGCTGTTTTGAAAATGCAGACACGAACAATGAAGAATACATTTCGATAAACCAAGTTTGGTTTATCGTGCTGATTGAGGCACATTTGCTTGCGTTTGCAAGGCACCTAAGCCATAATCCAGTCTTCTAAGATGCAAGCAAGTAAAGTGGGTGGCTTTGGGAGAACCATAAAGGTAGCCAATGAGTGGGCTCATTTTCTTCTCGATGGCGGGCCTTAGATCACAAGAACACAAGCCATGCCCTGCTGGACTGGACCCGTGGCCCATCTAGTCCAGCAGTCTGTTCTTCACTGGCCACTCAACTACACAAGGAAGCCCTCTAGTCCCCCAACAGATGGCCTTCAGTCCCCTAATTGAGAGCCAGTTTGGTGTAGTGGCTAAGTCACTGTGAGTTCTGGTCCTCCCTTCGCCATGAAAGCTGGCTGACCCTGGGCCAGTCACTGTCTCTCACTCCAACCCACCTCACAGGGTTGTTGTTGGGGGAAAAGAGGAGGTGGGGAATATTATGTGAGCAATACAAAATAAAGGAGGGATATAAATCTAACGAGTAACTCTGGAGAGAGAGCAACTTCGATGTAATGGTTAAGGCGTCAGGCTAGAAACCATGAGTTCTAGTCCCACCTTAGGCACAAAGCCAGCTGGGTGACCTTCGGTCAGTCGCTCTCTTTCAGCCCTAGGAAGAGAGCAATGGCAAACCACTTCCTAGATTTTGCCAAGAAAACTGCAAAATTTGACTAGTCCAGGCAGACGCCAGGAGTCAACACTGACTTGAAGGCACCAAAAGAAAAGAAGAAAACCCTAGAGAGAGCTGGGTGAATACCGATTGGGAGTAGGAGTCATTGGGGATTCTAATTACAGAGTTCCAGACTCTCCCTCTGCAAATCTCTCCTCAGTTGTCCTCTCTCAGGTTGGAAAGTGAAGTAGAATGATGATTGCCCCCAGGGAAGTAGCTTGGCAGTTGCTTAACACGGGGACAACCATCGGCTGTGCTTCTCCCCACTGGAGAAGGAAGAGTTCAGCTGGCAGAAGTTCTGCTCACCAAGGTAAAACCCAGCAGGTTCTAGATCAAGCCCTGCCTCTCCTCTGCCCCTCCTTGCCTTTGACTTTCATGAGGGGTGGGGAGAGATTGGTTCAGAGAGAGAGAGATGGGGCTGTTTGTTTAGGAGTTAATTTAGTTTTCCAGCTTCAGACTTTTCCAAAATGGTTTTAAGTAGTCTCATCCGGCCGTGTAGGTTTATAGCCAACAGAATGGAAAGGGTCTGCTGCTGCTCTCTTCCTAGAATATACTACAGCCTTGGGATATCATGGTGGTTTCTCTTCCCAGTATTAACCAGGTCTGACTCTGCTTTGCCTTCTGAGATCAGACAAAGTTGCTTAGCAAAATGATTTACAAACTGATTATAGCCAATGTTGACCACCAGAATCTCTTTAAAAACATCAGACCAGATTAACTCCCTCTCTACTCCCTCCAATATAAAGAATTTTAGCTAAAGCGAAGCTGGTCTCAGCTCCCAGGTTGCTATTGGCTTGGCAGAGTAAAAATACTTCCTTCAGATATCTCATTTCAGAATAAGCCGCTTCTTTTAGCTTCATACCCACCTTTTCAAGTGAGGCAAGGATTGGTTTTCCACAAACGGTGCTTAAAGAGCATTAGCCCTCTGCATAATGTGCAAATAAAACCCATGGATCGGAAGTGACTTAGCCATGGCTCTCTCCTGCTTCTAACCTGCATATTCACAAGCAATATATCTCCAGCATTAAAGCAGCAGCTTCATTTGGTTGTCATTTGTGAAAGTGCCACCAGAAACTGTGGATCTCCAGCAATTCCAAAATTATGTTCTACCATTAACAGAGCTGTTTCAGAAAGACGGTGGGCGCAAATGTAAACTCTGCAAACGAAGTGCGCATATTACAGATTAAAAACAAAGCAGAGCGATAGAATCAATGACAGTATGTTAAAAGCATACCCAATTTTATTCTGCTGCTTGGAGCAGAGGATCACTTTGGCCTGAGCTTGTCCTCTTGGCCAACATATGAGCAGTGACATCCTTCAAAGCGCGACAAGACAAAGGTTCCCCCTAGGATTAGGGGACGCAGCTTACCCTTCACAACTGTACAGAAGGCACATCTCTGCTACTAAGCCATGAATCTGGCCCAAAGAAAAGGGGGGACATTGCAAGATAACATTCTCCCCCCTTCCCAAATGAACTCTGAACCCTATCTATTTAGGTGGAAGAAGCTTTCCACCCTGTTGTCCTGAGTTGATCAAGGATAGCTGATCAAGGCACTATTTAGACCCTTGCCTGCAACGTGCTGCTTAGCAGAAGAACCCAAATACAGCATTTACACAAGATAGCAGTCTAGTTTCTACTTGAATATGCCCAGCAAAAGGGAGTCTACCCATCACCTCTCTGGATAACTGGTTCTACTGTTGAACCGCTCTTACTGTTGGATGGATATGGCCATCGTGAGAGTTGCCTGTCTCTGCATCTCTTCCAGTTACTCTGTATCTTTGTCAAAGTAGGGTGTCTAATCTGGACAAGAGATTTAAGATGGGACCATGGGATCTGATCAATTGAAATTATTTTTTCCCATCATTTGGAAATTACGCTTCTGGTGATGCAGCCTAAAATTGCATTTTTTTTTTTTTTAACAGCCATATCACCAAAATGCAGATATTAGGAGTGTGCAGATATTTGATTTGGACCTCCAATTTGAAGGAGGTTTGATCAAATCTCTGAGTCAAATTGGGAAATCAATTTCAATTGCTGAATTGAACAAGATGCTTCCAAAAGATTTCTGACTTACAGGCAGGTGCAGGAACTTTTAACAAAAACCAATTCAGAAGACCAGTTCAGATCAATTTGATAATTCAGTTTGGATGTCTGAATT